GGTGGCGAGTTTAGAGCAGGCTGAGGCTGCTGCAAGGGAAGGTGAAACATAGAGAAGACAACCTGCAAGCAGGAATGAGCAGCAACGGGCTTTGCCAGGCCATTTCTGCACCAATATTCCTTGCAACATCTTGGGGAAACTGAGGCAGACCAGCAAAGTAACTACACAGGGGGTGTTTGGCTAGGACTGATCCTATCTATACCATTGACTTCTCCTGCGTCAGCCCCTACAGACCAGTAATCCCAGCTTTTATTTGGGAATCCCCAACCTTTCCGGCCAGCCATGAGCTGTAACCGTCTCAGGAAGGATCTAAACCTGAAGGCGTGCCAGGTGAATTACGGCTACGGTCTGGATGGTCTCCCCTGGGGTTTTCCACGGCATCCTAGCACCATCGTTGCGGAGCATCCAGGAAAAAATCCAAATCACCCTTTTCTTCTAATTCCCCTCCTCTCCAAGAGGCAGAAGAGCGTTTTTGAAAGTCAACCCCTCTTGCACAGCTCCATGCCGGTAGGGAAGGAGATGGCAGAGCCACCAACCGTCAGGAACCAGAGCGCTGAGCTCAGAACACTCAGGAGCAACAGGTCTCTCCTCTCTTGCTTGCTTGGCTCCCCTGCTCCCTGCTGTCACACTCCTGATCCTGTGAAAGCTGTTGGAAACTGGCTCCTTTGAGAGCAAGCGGTCCCTTGTGCAACATCGGCTGTCTCCTTGCCTTCTGCGGAGACGATGGGTATGGAGGGTTTTCCCTTTTATCCTTGCCAGTCTAGCAAATCTGAGCCATCTAACAACAGCCCAGCTTTTCTTTCCTACCTTTCACGGACCCCCTGCACCCTACAGACTCTCGCCCGGTGTTTTCAGAGGCCGCCCTAATGTTTTCCAGACCATTTGGAGGTGGGACCTTGTCCTACACTGCCATCTCTGCAGATCTGTGATCACACAAATGAAGCGATAGACAACGTAAAGGGAGCGGTTTGGCTCACTGAGAACAAAAATCCCTCAAAAAGGTGTCGATAGGAAACCCCTACCACAGCACGTTATCAAGTTCAGTCCAGGCTCTGGAGCTCTGCACATTCTCCAGTGAGGATACAGCAGGTCCGAACTCAACAGACTACGTTTCTCAGGGACTTTTAGCGGCCTCCTCCGGAGTTACCGACTGACTCCTGGCATATCCACGGACTGCCGGTGGAAACCAATGACCTCGGGCGTGTTAGCGCACCCACATATGGAGTCAGCCTCCCGGTAAACATCCTATAGCGTGAGGTGCTCAGAGGGTTCGCCACCATCCCCGTGACCTCCAGCAGGAAGCCAGGCAGGAGAGACCGCACTGAGTCGGAGAGGAAAGTGCCTCCTGTGAAACAAAGGGTCATAACTGCTTCTTCTCACAAAGCTGCGGAGAAAGGAAGGAAGAGATGCGTGCAAAGAGCTACCCTGTACGAGGCGGCAGATGGTATCGGCATCCTTTTGGAGGGGGCTTTCTCCTGCAATGCAGAACAGGGCTGGAGACTAGGCTGGAGGGCTTGCACCTATGCTACCACAGAATCATGGAATAGTTTGGGTTGGCAGGGACCTCTAAAGGCCATCTAGTCCAACCCCCCCCTGCTGTGGGCAGGGACATCTTCAACTAGATCAGGTTGCTCAGAGCCCCGTCCAACCTGACCTGGAATGGTTCCAGGGATGGGGCATCCACCACCTCTCTGGGCAACCTGGGCCAGTGCTTCACCACCCTCAGCGTAAAACATTTCTTCCTTATATCTAGTCTTTATCTCCCCCCCTTTAGTTTAAAGCCATTCCCCCTTGTCCTGTCGCAACAAGGTCCCCCTTGTCCTGCTAAAAAGTTTGCCCCCATCTTTTTTAGAAGCCCCCTTCAAGTAGTGACAGGCTGCAGTAAGGTCTCCCCGGAGCCTTCTCTTCTCCAGGCTGAACAACCCCAACTCTCTCAGCCTTTCTTCATAGCAGAGGTGTTCCATCCCCCTGATCATTGTCGTGGCCCTCTTCTGGACCCGCTCCAGCAGGTCCGTGTCTTTCCTGTACCAAGGGCTCCAGAGCTGGACGCAGTGCTCCAGGGGGCGTCTCAGCAGAGCAGAGCAGAGGGGCAGAATCCCCTCCCTCGACCTGCTGGCCTTGGTGACACCCACTCTCGGGTCATCTGCTACTTGTCCCAACTTTACATGGTTGGCAAAGTACAGCAGACGGCTGGATTCCCATTGTACAAACCTGATGGGTGCTTGCACCATCACCCCAAGGAACGGGGAGCTCTTGGGCACAGCCCTGCAGACCTCGTCCCTGAAAAGTGGGCAGAAGATAACCAAGGACAGACTCACAGAGGTCAGCACCCAGCCACCCTCTCCCGGGGCAGCCGGAGCAGGTCGGGAGGAGAGATGTCAGGTCTCCCGGGGGGTGCTGGGCTGGGCTGGCCCCGACTCATTGTGTTTGGAGAAGGCGTCGAGGGCAGCTGACCTTACGTAACTGGAGAACAAAGCAGCTAAATAAAAACTGGAGCTGGGAACGGGCTGCGGAAGTGGGACACGGCTTTCCTGACTAATCAACCAGCATCTGAAGGAAACCGAACTCAATGGCAGGGAAACAACTGCATAAACACATCCCGAGGGAAGAAAGGGAGCGAGAGGAAGCAGGGGGAAGACTGCGGGGGTCACCGGCCCCTTCCGCCTCCCCTCGCTGCTCGGGTGGCAAAGCCTGGAGCGCCGGGATGGAGAGCGCAGCATGGAAACCTGGTGCGAGCTCAAGGGTTTTAAGGGTGCCCATACTCGTTTGCCTGCAAAGCCACCAACTGCACACTCAGATGGGCCTCAGAGGTAGGAGAGGAGCGGACCTGAGATGGCTCAGCCGGCACAGCTCTCCTCCCACTGCCAGCTCCGACGGCATCTCGGTCTAAAGTGTGATGAAGGGAATGGAGCGATTTAACCCCGAGGAGAAGCGCTGGTACCCTGCAGCCTCCCCTCCAACAGTGCAATAGCATCCTACCACCGAGAAAGCGCTGTCCCAGCCAGGGTGCGCTAGCCGGGGAGGTGTGCTTGGGGAACGCTCCCATACATCCCAGTACAAAACCAGTGACCCCAGAAGGGGTACGCTCCCTCTTGGGTGCCAGCACCTCATGATTTTTGCCTGGGAAGGGCTGTGCTCACAAACGCATCAGCCTGCAGGGCAGAGTTTGGGTTCACTCGCTCTCACCGTACATCACTACGCCGGGGCCATGCAGGCGCAGGGATTTCTACTAGCCACCCTCCCACTCCAAAAAAAGCTCCCCCCAAAACAACCCTCCAACAAAAAGAGTCTTTTCCAAGAGCCTCCGCTTTTCCAGGCGTAATCCAGGAGGGTCCTGGCCCAGCTGTGACCCCTCATTTCCCCGGGAGCCGGAGCCCAGCAGCCGATCCACTCTCAGCCCTGGGTGGTCAGAGCCAGACAGGACCGGGGCCACGTCCCTCCACGCTAAACGGCTGAGGCCAACGAACCGGCTCCTTTTCCCCTCCCCAAAAACATCTGCCTTTGGGTGAAAGCCAACCACCCTGCAAAGCTCAGCCCCAAATAAATTTCCAAAGAAACAATTTTCTGGTGCATTGCAAGGAAGAGGTAAGTAGGTGAGGAAGCCAGAGCCCGTTAGGACCTGCGTGGGGGCAAGTTGCCCCACGCTGGGGCAACGGGAGCTCCAGCTCCAGCAGATCTGCTCAACGTGGGGAGAGCCAGACTCTTTTCAAACGTTACATTGAATAAACGAAGCCAAGTTACTCTTCCAGATAGCTAACAGGGGCCACGGCAGCCGTTAGGATCCACGCCATCCAGCCTGCTATTTTTAGATCATCCACAAGGAAGGAAACCTCAGACAACCATCAGTGTGAGCTGAACTGCAGCTCCTCAGCCGCTTGGCCAGCACCGCAGGAGCTGCTCCACCCAGGCAGTCCCACTTCTGACACAGGGGGGATGGATGCGACTTGCCTGGGGAGGTCGCCAGCATTGCAGCCCCCACCCCTCCGTCACGGAGCCTGGCTACGGCTGCCAGCGTGAAACAGGTAGATCTGCAAAAAAAAACCCAGAAAACAACCCACCCGAACAACCCAAAACCTGAGCTGGTTGCTGGTGCAGACCTTTCTAAGCCCAGGGAGGGGCGAGTGATCTGGGATTTTCAGAGAAAACAAAGCCTGGGGAGCGGAAAGCAAAGCCTCCCTCTCCGGCGGTGATTTTGCAAGGCCCCGTGGCTGCATCCCGCGCAGGGAGAGGCAGCCTTGGCTCCGCGCTCGGGTTGCAATCCAAAGCTGCCGTGAAACGTGCTTTTGGCTGGGACGACCTGGCCTGGGGAGTACAACAGGGAGGCCCTTAAATAGCAGCAGCAGAGGAGAAGGGGCAGCCAAGCAACTGCAAAGGATGAGCCACAGACAAGGGAAGGTGGAAAAAACTTCCCGATGTGCCAGGATGATTAACGAAAGGGGTTTTTTTTTTTATCCCTCAAGTCTCCAGAAAATAGGATTGTCCCTCTTCATCTCTCTTCTGAGGTCCTACCCGACACTCGGAGCACCGTAGCAGTTCATTGTCAATGTGGGCAGCCTTGAACAGGCAACACGGGCACAGACTGAACCCTCTGCAGATCCATCTATGTTTCGGACACCCTGGCTTGCAGCCAGCCTCGCGTCCTGAGCTGCTTTCAGAGGCTCTGAAAACTTTTACAAGGAGAGAAGAGGCTGGCACCCAAGGTCCCATAAAAAACAGGACAATAATGACCTCCCTCCACACTGGCTTCTGCAGCATCCTGCTGCTAAACAAGGGTCCTAAATCCCCAAAATATGAGCTACAGGAAAAGAGCAATAAAAATAAAAGCAGCCCCCTGGTCTGCGCCACGGCAGACTCGATCCCCAAGCGATGCTGGGTGGGGATGGATGTATTGATTTATTACTGCAAGAGAGGCTTCTCCTTCTGCCCGAGCAAATCTCATCGGTGCCACCGAGCACCAAGTGAGACCAGGGAGCGGGGAGGCACGGAGCTGCAGCACTCACCAGAAGAGCTCAGCTGGCCGGCCCTGGCCGGGACGTGAAGCTCCACCGGGCCAGGTCGCACATCGGAGCCGTCGGAGGGCCCGTGACCCTCCGTCTGTCCCGCCGGGGAAGAAGCGATCTCGGCCAGCACTTCCAGGTCCTTCAGGATAACCTGTGGAGAGAGGGACAGCGTGGGGTGAGCACGCATGGGGGCGGAGGCAGCCGGCGGCATGAGCTTTCCTTTCCAAACCCACGGCCGGAGAGGGCGAGATGGGAAGCCAACACCAAATCCCCGTGCATCAAGAAAAGCGTAGGGAAAAGAGGACTACCTATGAAGTTCAAAGTGGAAATTTCAAATGATTGCAGAGGGGATGGGGCAGGAAAGAGAAAAGGGGAATAAAACCCCCCAGTTTCTGTTCTGTGAGTCCCAAGGGAGCATGTGAAATTAAATCTAATTTATGCAACCAGGAGCAGGGCTTGCTTCTCCCTCTTCCCACTTTGGGAGGTCTGGGTTTTGCTTCCCCGCTCCTCTTCATAACCACAGATTTGGGACAACCCCAGCAAGAGCATGGGGATGCTCTCGGGGGCAAACATCAGTCTGACTGCCTGCCCCCCCGCGCCCCCAGCTCGCCCCGTTCAGGGCAGCATCTGAGAGCAGGCTCGGCTGCCTGCGCTCAGGACGTCGAGGCAGAGCTGCCATTTGGATTTCATAGCTCTTACCTTCCAGAAGTGGCTGAATTAGTCTATATATAGCATTTCTGGAGAAGTTATTACAGGGTGGGTTTTTTTTTTTTTTCGTCCTCAACCCTTCTCATGTCTCAGGCTATTTTGGGTCCCCCTTCATTCAAATGTCCTTGGGTCTAGATGTTTCATCAGCCGTCCCTGACGCTCTGAGCGTAGCAGGGCTGTGCGGAGCAGAAAGGCTGCCAAAAAGGGTCGATTGCCACGTCTAACCCACCAGCATCCAGCATAGCACATCCCCAACCAGCCCTTGCCCACAAGCACAGCATCCCAGGCTTTCCACGTGTTCTCACAAGGCATCTTGTCGAGGAGCTGCAGTTATATGGAAGTTTTAGCTTCTGAGCTACCAAAAAGAACCCCTACCCCTGAAAAAAAAGCCAATCACGTCTTTTTTTGATCATGCAGAACTTGAAAATACGACCCCTGAGAATCAGAAAGAGGAGCCCCTGGGTTTCTCTGTTGCAGATATCTTAAGCTGGTTTGTTTTTTTTTTTAATTAGGGCTGATTTTTAAGCCCCCAGCAGCCTTTGAGCAGGCAGCGAGGTGCCCAGGCTTCAGTGCAGAGCTGGCCGTGGGGAAGCAGCCTGCCGCGGGCACCACGAGGCTCTCGGCAGGCTTGGGAAGACCCTGTGCCTATAAACATGATTAAGTCCCAGCCCACAGCTCCTCTGGGGATGAAAAAACGTAAGATAATAACAGCTTGTGCAATGGGGAGCTATGATGCTGCTGTCCCCGAAGAATATGGCACCTCCGTGATGCTGTCAAGGATGGGACCTCGTTGCCACCATGGGGCATCACTGCCATCGCCAGCCTTCCTCCTCTTCCAGGGAAGCGATGCTATGGTCCTCGGCAGAGGGAAGACCTTGTTCCTCCCTCTCCGCTTGGCTTTGCAGGGCTTTCAAGCATCGGTGGCTCAGACAAAGCAACGCTGATGGTGTTTCATTTCAAGCGGAGGATGCCCCCGAGCAGAGCTCACGACGCCTGATCTCCTGAAGCCCTACGTAGATTCTCTGGGGGCTAATCACATGGCTCAGCTGAACTTGCAGCCTTCGAGCGGGGTCTCCAGCTCTCACAGCTGGGGAAATAACACCCATGGAGGTTTCCAAGTCTATTGTCTTTGGCTAAAACTGGCAAAGAGACTCAGGGCTTGGCTACCGGGGCTGGCAGGCAGGTGAGAGCCGGGACTCTTGTTCACGCTACTGATTTTGCCAAACCCAGCATGCGTGCCAACACAACCGGGATGAGGTATCCTACCATGCCAAGGCCGCATCAACACATGGCTGGTGTACCGCGCGAACCAGCCGCCCGCGATTGCCACCCTGCTGCATTTGCTGCTGCCAAGATCTCCCCCTAGAGCCCACCCATCCAGCCGAACGCTTGGGCTATCGTCCAGCGTAGACTTCAGCAGCAGCTCCCGCAGCGTCAGAAAACGGGACCAAGACCCTGGGCTGGGCAAAAATCACCCCCGCTGCCTCCCAAAGCATTTAGAGCCATGTCTTATCCCGTGAGGTCGGATCCTTGATCCAACCTCCCAGAGCCGTGTGCTGAGCCCCACCTCCGAGATGCTGCTTGGGCTCGGGATGTATCGTCCAGCGTAGACTTCAGCAGCAGCTCCCGCAGCGTCAGAAAACGGGACCAAGACCCTGGGCTGGGCAAAAATCACCCCCGCTGCCTCCCAAAGCATTTAGAGCCATGTCTTATCCCGTGAGGTCGGATCCTTGATCCAACCTCCCAGAGCCGTGTGCTGAGCCCCATCTCCGAGATGCTGCTTGGGCTTGGGATGCTCCGGTCAGGCTGCCTGGGCAGCAGCGATCGGCACCACCGAGGACATGGCTGGACCTCTCGAGCTTTGGAGAGGTTAAGGGGTGTCCCCCCAAGCCAGCCGTGTAGGTCACAGGCAGGAGGTGGAAAAAGGAGCATGGGCTGGATTTTGCAATTGAAAAACATGGAGGAAATAAGAAGCAGGAGGGACGGGTGCACAAGCACCTGGAGGAAGAGGAGGAGCAGGTGGCCCAGAAGACCTGAGGTTTTCCAGCCGTGGGAAAGAGGCAGGGAGCTCTGGCTCCTGCTGCTTCTTCCCCGCACGCTCCAGAGTGGGTTCCCAGCCAGGGACGGAGGAAAGGCAGGAGCGCTTGGTATGCGCTGCACATCCCTGCGCTAAGCAAAGCTGGAGCCGGCGGCTGGCTTTGTGCGAGCGAGGAGGCTGTAAGAAAGCAATATCCTGCCATTACCATGGCAACGGGCCGGCTGCGCCAGGAGCGAGCAGGTCCCATCCGTCAGGAGCCGAGCGGCCGTCGGACCTGACAGTGCTGGAGCACAAGGGCCGGAGCCGTTCCCAGCTGCCGGGCGAGGGCGCGATCCCGACGGCCAGCCTGGAGGAGCAGCCACCGTGGACGTTTTCCTGGCCCAAGAAGGGATTTCTGTGAAGGTTTCCCAGCGGTGATGAGATGTAGGGCGGTGTGCCCCTGCTCCGGGCGAGCGTGGGGCTGGTTAGCGTGAATTGGAAGGAGCAGGGGAGGCAGCATCGTGATGGATGGGGAGACCCGGCCGATGCCGCAAGCCGTTCCCAGCACGGGGGACGAAGAGCAGCATGGGGGAGGGCAAGCTCTTTGCACGGCCCGGGGACGAGGAGCAGGTTATCAGACAGTTATAAATAAGCTGTTATAAATAAGCAGCTATTTCTCCTCCCTGGGAATAGGCAAGATTTCTCCCTGTATTGCCTCCAGAGCACAGATTTTGAGGGCACACGAAACTGTCGGTCTCTCCGGCTTCTCCAGATCTAGGTCAGGTTAATTTGCCGCTTGTTCTGGTTGAACGGAGCCGAGACCAGCTCTACCGTCGGTGGCGCAGGGGAAAAGCAGGCCCCGAATGGCACGTGGTGGATGGATGCACCTCCCACCTGCAAAGCATCACCTTGATGCTCCTGGGGAGGACTTTGCCTCTGGCCAAAATGCTGGGCTGGCCCTGGCCCGTTGCAGAGGAAGGGGAGGTGACCCCAAATCCGCTGCAGACCCCTGGGGAGCAAGACTTGGCACCCCGCAGCACATGCTGACTACCAGGACACCAGGGCAGGCTGCAGCAGCAGCTCCTGGGGTACACAGGATGGCGGGGATAGGGACTGAGCTCCTGAAGATGCTGTCCTTGCTGGTATTTATGGAAAAGTTTAAAAAAAAAATAAAAAAAGAAAAGATCAAAATGCCTGTGTGCAGCGGGGAAGTGCTCACGGCCTTGGATGTCCCAGGGCAATGAAACGGGGCACACGACACCAGGGACAAGGTTATTCTTGCCAAGGAGAAGATGGGAATCCAGCTGAAGCAAGATGCTACCAAGATGGAGAACAGGAAGATTAAGAGCTGCAAAGCACTTCTTCAACGGGGACTGTTTGATCAGGGGATCAGGGTGGCTGTGGAAAACCCCACGGCACTACCAGGATCAGCAAGGTAGTGGGGTGGAGGAGCGACCCGGTGGGGACCAGGAAAGCCGAGGCTGCTGCTGGGTGCTTCCTCCTGCTCCACCACTCCAATGCAGCCCCTCGCCGCCGCAGCGTGCACCGAGGCTTCCCCAGAGGGCTTCATTTATTTTATTTTATTTTTTTTTCCCCCCTCCAAGCCTTTTAGCCGTAGCCAGGGGAGGGGAGCGAGCATGGGGCAGGCAGTCCCAGAGCCCAGAACGGCTGCAGCTAGGCTGGCCGAGCCCCAGAGCGGTGGGGAACACCCACAGTCGCGCCCCCCCCCCCCCCCGCCTCCACCGGCTTTAAAGACAGAAAAAGAAAAGAAAAAACACCATTAATCTTCCCACACCAATTTAACCGGACCTCTTTTCAGGTCCCCGGCACAGCAACTTTTATCCTCTGATCTTGCCAAGACCTTTTTTTTCCCCTTTACAGCCACTGGATTTCAGCCCGTGGCTGGGAGGGGATGGGGAGCAGAGGGAAGGCAGCGGGGCTGGGGGCTTCTCCTCTCCTCCCCAGGGCAGATCCTGCCAGGTTGTGCTAACACATGCTCACAGCATCAGCGAATACAGCAGGCCATGGTGGTGGTGGGGGTCACTTGGTAATACGGCCACAACCACCCGAAACCAAGCTGCAACCTGAAAACTCCCCGTCCTCCCTCCCGCTTTTGCAAATCCCCCATTTGTCCCTGCTGCAGGCACGTGAGGGCCAGGCCTGCAGCACCCCGAGCGGCAGGAGCACGAGCGCTGTCACAGCTCAGAACACCTCTTTAAATGTGTTTAATTAGCGTCCGGGGAGCTTAACACGCCACCTGATGCCAGTCGCAGGGCGGGATGCCAAGGAGGGATTTCTTCATGCATTAGAGGGCAGGGAAGGAGGCAGGACAGGTCCAGCCAGCGGGATGGGGCTGGAGGAAGCCGCAGCCGGGCCACGCTGCGGGGGGGGGGGGGGGGGGGGGGGGGGGGGCTGGATGCCTGCAACCCCTTCAAATTCAGCACCCAGAGTCCCAGAGCTAATGATGGGCAAAGGGTTTGTTTTTATTTGCTACCCTGTCTCCCATCCAGCACCTCCCCTCTGCACCCCGGGGAGCCAGGCACCCAAAGCCAAGCTCACCAAATCTCTCATTCTACACCTTCATCCCACCCTGGACCCACCCCGAGCCAGCTCCCCGGGACGGGATTGCCTGACCCACCCCGAGCCAGCTCCCTGGGACAGGGATTGCCTGTCCTCCGCGGCAGACAGGTTTTCTGTGGTTTTAATCTGCTCTGTGATTTCAACCCAGGAGCGCTACAAGCACCACCTTGAGCCCAGACTGCCGGTTTACCACTAGCTGTTCGGAATACATATAAACTGTATATGCATACGTATACGCAAGCCATGCAATTACGGTCCGGAACTGGTGCTGAGCCAAGAAGCTCCCTGTGGATCGCGCTCCCCCCGAGAAACTTCCTATTCCTGCACGATGCAGCGCACAGATTATCTTTCAACCCAGTGCCCTTGCAATGCCTCGAGTCCTTGGAGAAAGTATCGCCCCACCCTGCTTTGAGACTTCTGCCTAGGGGCTGCTTCCACGTACGGCAAGCTGGGCTGACCACATTTTCCACCATCCAACTGAAATTATATACCTCTCTCTGCACCCCACCATTTCAGTCCTAAGCTCACCCTCAGTGTAACTTCCCTCTTGAAAACGAGTAGCTTCCCTGCTTCGGTACCTTGTAGCTTTGAATCTCTCTCCAGAGAAGCTTTACCACCAAAAAAAATTAAAATAAACGCTAGGCACACCTACATTAGAGTTCTCCTCTGCGCAGTCTTTAGCTTACACCCTCTGCTTCGCATGGGGTCACAATATTTCGGCCGTGGTGAATTAAAGGCTGGGAGCTGGAGCACAATGGCTCTAAAACCAACAGAGCAAAGCTCCAAACTAAACCACGCTAAGACAGCTATTCGCTTTGGCACAAGCTTTTGTTCAGCTTCATTGTACTGGGAATCGGGTGCGATGGGAGAAGTTCGCCAGGATTTAGCGCGACAGCACAGCTCAGAGAGCAGGGCAGAGACCTGGGCTTCGAAACCCTGCGGTGCTGCAGCAGGACGTGCAGGAGGGGTTTAGGACTTAACAGTACAGGAGAGAGATGAATATCAGTATACCACCATACCTGGGGTTCCTCCTCTCCTAGTTTAATACTAGAAACCCAAGAGAGGGGCAAAATGTTTCAGCTCGTCATGGAGAAGTTGGCTTGAAGGTCACGCAGACGTTCAAGTCCATCGCTACCTCCGCAGGCAGTGGTAGCCCAGGCTCAGCTAACCCTCTCTAGGGAAGCGTACCAACTCTTGTCCGGTGCCAGGAGGAGACTCCTAAGGATGCTCGAGGAGATACAGCTGCAAACAGCAAGCTAAGAAACCGTTTGGATCTTCTTGCTGTATTCAAAGCCTTGCCTGGCCACTGCATAAACGCAGGTAGGTTTTCACATTAGCAGAGCTGAGAGGAAGCCGGAGCCTATCCTGCTTCACATCAGACACCAGCACCACCTCATGCGTCATTCCTGCATGAGTCAGACAAAAGTCCCAGCACAACTTCCAACCCCCAGCAAGATTGAGAGGAGCAGATAAGGAAACAGGAACACGTTCAGCCGTAAAGAAACAACTCCATTTTGGAGCCGGAGAAAGGAAAACAAAGCAAAGAAAGAAATCCAGCAGTGTCACTGCTTCACAGTTTTCTCAGAGACGCCCTCACCGCCTGTTGTGTCCACCTGAACTCAGCACCTGGGTCCAGGACCCAGGGAACTGAAGCTGCTTTTGCATCAGGAGCTTGCAGAGGGAGATGACCCAAAGAGCAGCTCTTCCTTTCAGCAGTGCCTTCCAGCAGCGGTGCTTTTAACCTGTGGGTGGATAGGTCCAACCCACTGCTCCCAAAGGGCGCTGGGGCTTTGGCTTTTCACCTTTTCTAACATCAATTCTTCAACCAGGTGTCAGGGCTGCGAGACTTGCACCGACGAAAGGAGCAGTTTGTGCAGAAAAACCCACTCCCAGCAGGATCCTGTTAGTCTTGGAGCTGTAAGAAAGTTTTTAAGGACTTCAAATTTTAACCGGGGCTTTTAAAGCCTTCAAAACCAGGTCTCAAATGCGGGACGGAGCATCTCCCTGCCGGGGAAACACGGGAACCGGCACGAGGTGACGCAGTGCAGCAGTACAGCATCTGACAGCCAGGAATCCTTGTATCCCGACTTGTCTACATATCAAAGGGAACTGCTTGCTTCAGCTTCGCTCCAACTTCTCCGCTCCAACTTCTCCGCGCTGCCTTTGTGAATCTTAACTAGGTCTCTTGACCATTTCTTTACTGGCGCAGGGGAACTGGGTAGGAAGGGGAACAGGAGAGAAGGCAGAGATGACTCAGGACGCCGCAGATGCATCATGAGATACTGGCCCCTGTTCAGCACGGTGGAGGTGGTGCAACACCTTGTGCTACTTTAAGGATAAAAACAGGCGTGACAACTTAAAGGGCATGGATCCGGCTCCATCCAGCACGAGTCTCTCCTTGCTTTGGGCTTGATTATTTATGGCAAGTGCACAGAGAAACTACTCTGAGCAGCTCAGCAAGACCAGACCTTAAAAATAAGGTGCCTGAGCATGGTCTTTCAGTTTGATGCAAAGCCCTGACTAGCACTGACCCTCCAAAGCCATATTCTCCTTTGGTGACAAGCTAGTGAGAAACAGCTGCTCCAGGACAGCTTCAGGGTGCATCAGGAGAGCGACAGCACGGGGGGCCAGGGGCTCTGCAGGCACTGTAAAAGGATGTTCAGCCTTGCTGGGAAGAAAGATGGTCCCGGCACTGCTGCCCAGCCAGGTTCCCTTGGGGAGGGCAGCATCACAGCATGAAGACAGCAAAAAAACCCTGCAAACGTGTGTACCCCCTGCGCTGCGCCACACAATGCATGGAGCCCTAACCTGGAAAGGGGAGAGAGATGCTCCCCCGTCAGAGAACTGATGGGGAAGCTCACACAGGACCCCACGCTAACCCAGCGATCCCCAGCCCATTAGCCAAGAGCTTCTGGGGATCCTGATCTACTCTAGGACAACACGAACGTGCATACAAATACTGTACTGAGCAGGGAGTAATGGCTAAGAGAGCACCCCGCGTCTCCTCTTCTAATAGGCATTGACACTGCAGGTTAGCTAGCTCAATCTGTCTTCATCGTTCCCAAAAATGCCCAGCTCAAAAACCCCCTACTATTTCGGTCATTTCTATTTCCTCTGCAGAGAGCAGCAAATCTGGTTGAGAGCCAGCTGAGCAGTGGTGTTTAATGGATTGACTCGTCTATGGATTTCCTTAAAAAAAAAAAACAAAACCAAAACCAACTCCAAACATTTAAATAAATAGAAGACAGGATTAAATAAATCAGCTTAAAATTACTTTTGAGCCATTCCCAGTTATGTCACATGGAGGAAATGCATCACCAGGGTCCTTTCTTCACTGCTTTTTTCAAATATTAATAAGCAGTGTAATTGCAACATGACTCACTGCGATCTCCTGCCAAGCTGGAGAGACTATCTGCAAGATGCAGGCTTTCTAGAGCATTGCAAAGGCAGATGTGTGCTTGGGGACTCTTTTGGAAAGGTTTGCATCGTAAGCAGCAGGGTATGGAAAATGGCCAGGCAGTCGCTTGCCTTTGCAAGCGCAAGTCATTCCCTCGCTTGCTTATTCCCTTCCCTTCTCTCTTACTAACCCCCTCGCACGCGGGGAGTTATTGCGGGTTTGGGGTTTGATGCCCTGAGCGGGTAAGGCAAAGCAGATAGCGCACGGTTTTTATTCCACGAGGAAGGTCTGGCCCAAAAAACCAGCCAGGATCGCTCGCAGCTCTGGGCAAGAGGTATCCAGCTGATGGTAGAAGCGCTACCAGTGCCCGGGCCAGCTGTGTGCCGAAGCTGCCAGCCTCCCACCCAAGCACTAGAAATGCTCCAGGGTGCAACGGAGAGGGGGAGAAGACAACAAAGATGGCAAAATTGAGATGACTGGAACCAGAGAAGAGGGTTGAGGAAGAAGGACAAGGAAACGGGAAAATGGTGCAGCACCTCGGGAAGGGAGCAGCGCGGGAGATGAAGAGCACTGCACTGGGAGGGCGAGGCGCAGGCAGGAGAGCGAAGGCAGAGCAAGCTGGCTCACTCATCGCTGCCCGATTTTCTTTGCTCGCTTCCAAGCCGAGCGGTTCCCAGCCAACCTGACGCCACTGGGCATCTACTGCAGCCCCACCAGGCAATGCTGACGCTGCCCTGCCAGCGGCGGGTGCTGCTTAACCGCCTCACGACTCAGATTTTGCAGTGCCGGCTGGACACAACCCTCCTCGCACCCCTACAGAGCTGCTGCAAGGCGCCCGAACTCCCACTCACCAAGGATCTGACCACGACCCAGCCCCATGGGAAAGACGTCAGCTCTGGGACCTGAAGCCCCAGCTGTCTTCCCAGGCAGGCAAAAAGGATTTTTAGGAGTTGGCTTTGATGGATCAACTCTCAGAGATGGAGAAGAAGGTTTATACAGACAGAAGGTCCCAAACACACCAGCCTAATGGAGACAGCAGGGCTTTCAGCTGGGCAGCTACCTGCAAGGCTCTGCACTGGGTCTTCTTCAGTCTAGCCCACAGGGTTAAACTCCCCAGTGCCAACACTGGCCAAGCCTCACAAAATCCCTCGGTTCAACCCAAAAAATCCAAAGCCCAGCTAGATGTGGAGACAGTAAGCTTTCAGGAGGACTTTTGCAGCACTTACCTCATCTGACTCGTCTGAGAGGGTCCGCAGCAAGATGGGGAAGAGGCTGTCGGTGTGTCGGAACATCTAGAACCAGAAAGACGGACGGCATCAGTCCTGTAGGCCTGGTCAGTCCCTGCCACAGGACCTCTCGCCCCAGGGGAGGCTGCCAAAAGCTTCACCAGCATTTTCCATCTGAGCTGGAGAGCTCTTCTTCCTTAAGCTACTGGGTATCCAGCAGCCAAAGCCTTCTCAGAAAAGGCAGGTGGACACTTGGTCGCAATGCTAACCAAGATAATTACAGCCAATTCAAAGGCAAGGAGCAGGATGGGAGCGGACAAGCTCAGTCCCACGGAGGAAGCAGTAGGCTCACATGCCGAGTCCCTGACCTACCTTACGAGGAGTCTTGATGTACAAGTGGTAGAGCCATTTCAGGACTGCAATTCTGGTCATCATCCCAATGGACGTGTCATGAAGGTGGCAGTCCAGCACCTGAACTATTCCATCCAGGTTCAGGGTCACCTGGATCCTCTCGGAGCTGCACGGAAAGGAGAGAGGCTGGTTCAGTGCTGTATGTCCAACTCACTCCTCCCACAGCGGGGAGGTCTACCACACACCAGGGGCTGCATCAAACATCTCAGCTCAAACCCTAAGAAACCTCAGCTGTCCCCTGGGCCTGCTCCTGCCCCACTCAGCCTGGCCACCCACACTTCTTATTCTGTGCATCCAGATCTGCTCATGGCAAACCCAAGAACTGTGCTCAAGTCTTCAAGAGTTCTGACAGCCAGGAAGCAAGCTCCAGGCTTGCAAGCCTGCGGGGTCATGGCTGGGCACGGCCAGGTTTGCCCATGTGGCATAGGTAGCTTCTGACTGGCGTTACGAGATGGGGAAGCACAATGAGAGATACAGCAGCACACCAAAAACTTGCTTTGGAAACAACAGAAATCTTCCAGGCTTCAAGGTTTACCACTTTCCCAAAACAGCTGGTACCTACGCATGACGACACCACGCTAGATGAATCCAGTAGCATGACTGTGTCGAGAAACTGGTCCGTATTGCAGTCACCAGGTTTGGGGTTCAAAGACGCATAAAACGCATTCAGACTCCGATTCAAGTTTTACTAGTTCAAACATCTCCAGAGAACATCAATCCCACGTGTCCTCAAACTCCACTAGTTGGGGCCACCCAACCAGGTGAGGACATCCAGTTTCCGCTAATCCCCGCAGACTCGTGCTGAGGACTGCAGATGGTGCCCTGGCTGGCAGTGATTTTGGGATGCAGCTCTCTGCTACGAGGCCGCCTTGAGAACATCATCTTGTTTCCCAAAAGCCATCCCAAAAGATGCGGATAACTCTTGGTCATCAACCAAGGATGAAAGCAAACAACTCCCTTAGTTCACCAGGACATTGCCTCTTTTATAACATTGACAGCCTGCAGACCCTTAGCTCTTACTACGGTGAAAAACTCCCCAGTTTTTCCCCGAATAGTTGGGACCTGCACTGGGACAGGAGACCCCCAACGCAGAAGAGGTCATGTTACGGTGTTTTTTGTCCTGTTTGTGATCCTGAAGTCTACCTGATGGTTTCCCACCTCCTCAACAGCAAGGACGTGGGAAGTACCTGTCGCAGGTTAAGGAGAGATGGTTGGACCCGAGATGGTCGGAGCCGAGATGGTTGAAGCAGACCTCCAAGAGGTAGCTGCATTGAAGAGCTAAGTCACTCCTGTCCTACCCAAGCTACTGAATTATTCAAGGCTGGACCAGACTGTTGCCGATTTTTCTGCCGTGTGCAGAGCTGCTCTGCATCTCGTTTGTTAAGAAATCCTAAGGGGCAGATTTCTCATAGTATAATTTGCAAGTAGAGCTGCGGGTTAATAGGATTTGATCTTCCTCAGGACACATGTTGTAAGGGTGAGACAAGGAGGCTGCGGCCCCTCGCCGCCCTACAGACATCTGACTGCTTCATCTGCCCCATGTAACAGATGCTGGGGTCTGCAAATTGCATTTTGAGTTGGACTAAGTTTCGCTTTGATGTTGCAAACAACCACCGAGGGCCAAACGCTCAGACGTGCAGAACCAAGGGGAAGGAAGGACCCCGAGCACGGGGAGTTTGGGAGAGGGGATGTCAAAGGGAGCAGCATCCCAGGCGATGTCAGCCAGCCTGAACCAGCCCTGTATCTGGTTTTCCTGCAAAACGAGCTCCTGCTGCAGCAGCGCAGCCTGCCACCCGCCCGGCACAGAGCTCCTGATGGAAGAGGAGCACGAATCCTCAAACCGATTACATCTCCACGCCAAAATACGCATCGCCTGCGCAGGATGGGGGAAAAAAACCTCAGAGTATTGTGCGTTTTCAGAGGGAGGCAGCTGAAAGGACGGTGCAGAGAAGCAGCGCGTGAAGCCGGACGATTCGGAGGTGGCCTCGACGCTGTCACATCCACCAGCTCCGCACTGCTGTGAGGCAGGCGGGGAGGACACGGGGTGGTATCGTTAGAGGAGGACGCCGGACTGCTGCCAGCACAGCAACAAGCCATTTCCAGCCCGGCTTGTACCAAAGTTACTCATGAAAACCCTCTCCCCAGCGATGCAGCACCTGCACGGGAGCAGGCTGTGGGCAGAGCCTGGGTGGCTCAAGTCAAAATCCACCCGAGGTGACCCCAGGAGGTGGCTGGCAGCACCGGGCTCACTTCGAGTCAGCCAGACCCCGGCCACGCCATGTACCACCACCCTGCGGCTCCGCCGGGCTCAGCTCCTGCTAAAAGGGGTGGCGGCTGGGCAAAGCTCCTCGCCGGCTATCCTCTCCCCGCATCTGCCGAGATAAACCTTTCAGGGGGGTTGCCGGCGGAGAAGCAGCTCGTTTACTCAGCACAAAACCAGGGCACCATCCTGAAAGGCAAGAGGTTTGGTGAACATGTGAAATTGGCTAAAAATCTCCCACCGACCACGCTTCTCTGCCTCCGAGGTGAAGCGGCACGAGATTCCCGTGGGCTGCCGCCTTTCCGGAGGGAAGGCAGCAGCCGAGCACGGCGAGCGTTGCCGTGGCTGCAGCTCCCAAGCGGGCTCACAGCTCGCCCCGGCTGTCCTTAATCCCCAGGCAGTGCGGAGCGGGAGCAGCGGTAATGGCATTGCGCTGATGCCATCCTCTGGGCCTGCCACGCCGGTTCCCAGTGCCAGCATCTGCGGCAGGACAGATGTCAGATGCAATCGCTTCCATCTAACCCACTACCCCAGATTCTCCTCTGGAGGACGAACGCGGCCCTGGCACCGCCTCCGTGGTTCACCTGTGACGGCGAGAACATGTTTTTAGGGCAAACTGAGCAACGATGGGGGCTGTACCAGGCTCTCACCTCTGGATACTGGTACCCTTTGCTCAAGCTGAATGGTGGGGCAGAAGATCCACCCCCCAAGCACGTCTCCCATCTCAGAAAGCATCCTCCAGCACGGGAACAGAGCTCACTTTCCCACTGCATTCAACCCACAGCGATGTTTTTCACCCCATGTCCCTTATCAACTCATTTTCTCATTTCTGCCCTTTCTTCAAGGGCTTCTGCCATCTCTCTCCTCAGCAGTCGCCTTTTCTCTGCCAATGCCTGAGCTGTCATCTCCCTCCTGGCCTCCTGCCTGGCCCAGCTGCTTTCCTGACCCCATTTTCAGACAAGGTTAAGGTCTAGGCCAGGCTCTAGCCTTTAAGCGGCCTTGCCAAGGGTGGAAATATCCAGGTTCTTTCATTGTGGTCCAAGTCACAAGGGCAGCTCCCATACGGGCTGGCAGCTGTGCTGCTCAACGGGCTCGAGCCAGCAGCCAGGAGCTAAATAGCTCCTCTCTGCTATTGGTCCCACAAGCTGTTGCTTTCCCGTCCTCCATCGCTCTCATTTCAGCACTCTTGGCTTCCTTCTGCTTACTTCAGTTTCCAAGTACTGGAAGTGCCCGCAGCACCAGCGCAAGCTGATCTCCCAGGGAAGCGATGAGGCTAAGGTCTAGGCAGAGGCATCCACTCCAACGAGCTGTAGATCACTGCGACGAGGGCTGGGGCAGCAATGCCCGAGGTCCCCCTCCAGCTTCATCCACCCAACATGGGGCAGCAATGCCCGAGGTCCCCCTCCATCCACCCAATGGCGCAGTGGAGCAGCGAAGGGAATCTGTCTCCTCGTTCCAGGCTGGAGAGGAGGGCCAGGAGGAGCCTCCCCAAGAGGACACCCTGGACCTGAAAGCTGCAGCAAGGCAGGCTCCATCAGACAAGCTGCTGGAGAATGGGACTCCAAGGCAGGCTTGGTGCATGAGCTCAAGGCAAGCCATCGTGCTGCCTTCGGCCAACCATCCCCTGGGTGCTGCTGGGCACCCAGCACCACCCCTACCCTCCACCCAAGTGTTCATCACCTCGATGAGCTCCCCAGCTCACCGACTGCGCCCCCAAGGCGCGCCCGGCTCTAGGCACGGAGCTACGGCGACTTCCAGCACGAGACAAGCAGCAGCAATTTTAGCTTTGCACTGAGCCCTAACTACCACGTTTAAAACTCGGGCAGTTCAGCCACGTGGCAGCCGTTTGCCCTTTCTGCAGAGCAACAAGCAGCTTTACGTGTCTGTGTGTCGCTGAACACCACCCAAAACAAGAAGCCTTCCTTGCATCAGGAAGGACCACAAAGGCTCTTCTGGAGCCCCCATGTCCCTTATCTAGTTTGGTGAGGGATCGTGGTCCCATCACCCTTGTCCAACTGCCATGCACCTAAGCCAGGCAGCCCTGCCGACCGCTTGCCAGCCGTGCCTGACCACCCGCCCGGCAGTACGGTTAGGAAGTTGTCTCAAACCGTCCAGGTCTTGTATTGAAACACCGATGCAGTTGCAAGAGCCTAAAAGGCACTTTCCAGCTGTTCTGGTGCAGCGACGCAGGACAGACATCTGCATCTTCTCCTGCAGCAGCTCAGACTGACAGAAGGAAGCCCGGGCTCTGCTCCAGCCACCGCACTTCCACCTCCCCTTCCTGAGCTGGGCTCACACCAGCGATCGCAGCATCGGCAGGGTCAGCTAGGCCACAGGAAGGATCCAGCGCCTCTGAAACACCGTTCTGCTCCACTTCCAATGAGGGTTTTTGCAGAAGCTGGAAGTGGGGACCCCCACCTGCACGGGGAGTCCTGCAGCCCCTCCAGCCCTGCGCAGCCAGGCCCTCCCGGGAGCCAGTTTCTGTCTCAGCACAGACACGGTCCCCGTTTCCTAGCGAATGCCACCAGGAAGCTGGCAGTTACCCTGGAAGCATTTTGGATTGCCAGCAGGATGTTTTAGGAGCAGGGGGGGGGTGTGCATGTCAGTTTGTGGCCATAGGAACGTGCCCAGCATCCACCTATGGAGCATTCAGACCTCGTCATCTTCTTGGATGGCATCTTCATGGAAGACGTCCCTCTGCAGACGCTGGGCCGTGAGCTCCTCCGCCCCTGCTGACCGAGGTCCTCCTCCTTTCGCCGCTGCTGCAGTGCTATCCCTCTGCAGACGTCCGCGCGGGGAGGGCAGGAGAAGGGGGCGTGAGAGCTGGACGCCTGGCGCCGGGCCATGCTCCATCACTCGCTCGCCGGGGGAGACTGGGGGAAGCAGGAGGCGTACCGAACAAAAACACAAGCAAGGAGTGACTTCATCTTAAAAGGCAGCTGCAGCTTCCTCCGTTTGCAGGCTTTCCAGCTTTTCAAAGCAACGCCACGGTTTCCTGTGGTCCTGTCTTGACACCCAGTGGTCATACAAAAACACAAGCAAGGAGTGACTTCATCTTAAAAGGCAGCTGCAGCTTCCTCCGTTTGCAGGCTTTCCAGCTTTTCAAAGCAACGCCACGGTTTCCTGTGGTCCTGTCTTGACACCCAGTGGTCACTCAGCATGCAGGCAGCTGCCTGCTTCCTGATGTGAATTACGGCTGCAACTGGCTACAGGTGCCAGCTCTCGCCTTCCTCCGGCTCCAGGGCCGAGCCAGACAGCCTGAGCAATAGACGGAGCACCAGGCAGATGTCCAGGGCTCCTGTTGGCCACGTACAGCCCCGCAACCCCGTGCCAGTCCCCCACAACAGGTGCCACGGCGAAAATCTTCCAGGTCCCAGCGCTGGGCCAGCAGAGAGGTCACACAGGATGGGGAAACGGGCTGCAGGGCAGGTAAACCCCAGGACGAAAGCTGGCATCTCCCGTTTAAAAGGGTTTAGGAGGGCTCAAGAACAAGTCCCTCTGTAAAACCAGGTCTCTTAGAGACGCGAAGGGTCTCGCCTGCTGTCCCGGATGGTTTTCCCTGGTGCTTGGGGATCTGGCAGACGGCTTCAGCTCGGGCAGCCGTTCTCCTCCTGGCTCTCGGTGACACTGTGACCAAGTGACTCCAGCTCTCCCTGCTTCTGCCCCCTTCGGTCTTCACTCCCTCTCCTCCCCCGGGTGCAAGCTCTTCAGCACAGAGACGCAGTTATCACTTCTCCTCCTGGACTTAGCACCTCTCCTTTTCCTTCCCCTTCCCAGTTTCAGCCCTACGCACACCCAATTCTGCACCTGCTAAACTTTAAGGGCTGAGCAGGGCCAGGACGCAGCGATCACAGGAAAGACGGGGAAAACCATTTAACAGTCATAAAACGAAATCTAGGCGCAAATTAAAAGATCTGTAGTTTCAAGAGACGAAAAAGTTAAGGGCATCATTAAGGCGAGGTTTGCAGGAGTGCAAAAAAGGAACAGTGGGGTCCAGACCATCAACCTGAAAAAGCTGACGCTTGCATTGCTCTGGGATGCGTTATGATGGGCATCACGCGTCAGCCTTGGTGGTAGGATGGCCCTAGGGTAACGCATCCTATTTTGGGGACCACAACAAAAAATAAATATACGCATCAGCACAATAAGAGTGTTGGAAATCACAGCCTCCGAGGAAGGGGACTGCAGGAAGCAGGAGGAAAGGAAAGATGCCTTATAAGAGCAGATGGGTTTGTTCCCAGATTCACCGACAGCTGGATGGGAAGAAAGGTATTTGCGGGAGAGATGATTTAGAGGAGATATTGGGAGAGGACATGCTGGGCACGGAGCTGCTCTCTGCAGGCGCGGGGCAGACTAATGCCACGCAAAGCTGGCAGGGGGACAGGCTGGCAGCAGGCGCTGCCGAGACCCCTCGCCTCTCCGGCAGCTGGAGCTGGACGGTGCGGCCCCAGGTACAGCCCCACAGCACCGTGCCGTGGTGGGCTGCCAGGACTGCAGCTCGGAGGCCTGCGGTGCCCAGAAGCAGGGTCAGCGCTCTCCAGGCTCTTCTGCCAGCCCCAGATGGTTCACGTACCACCTTCTCACGAGGTCTCCGCACCTCTGGCAGACCAGCACACCGCTGTTCCTCTACCACTGTTCCTCTGCAAAGGCAGGAGGGAACAAAATGCCTCCTATTTTGGCCAAGCTAGAAGAGCCGTAACCAAGTCAACCATCTACCTTCTCCCCACCTTCACCCTATCTTTCAGCCCGAGTGCCCAACCATGGGGGCTTGAAGACAGGCGAGGTGCAGAACCCCGAGTGCACAGACACTCACTGCCTCACCAGAGCTCCCCGGGGAGCTTTGCAAGGTCTCCTGAGGGGGGCAAACACCTCAGTTTACCATAAAGTCAAGACATTTTGGTGCAAAAGCATGAGAGGGAAGCTGTCAACTCCTAGAGCAATCCCCAGTCATCCACCCCACTGTGACCCAAGAGACCCCATCTGTTTTCCAGCCCAGACCATCCTTCCCTGCAGCTTTGTCAGCATCTGTCAGCTGTCGTCTGTACCCCGAGAAGCCTTCCCTTCTTCTCAAGCCCCTCTGAAGCAACAAACAGACCCTACCTGGTTACTGTGAAGACACTGCTGTTGCTGAAGTTGGAGTCACCGGATGCATCCAGAGAGCCTGGGGGCAGATAAAAAGGAGCCACAGTTAGTGGGATGGCAGGGAAGGCGGAGAGCAGGACTGGGAGGCTGGAGACATCTGCAAAGACATCACCAGCCATCGTTTGAGGGTCCGGGGACCCCGAGGATCCCTTCTGCCTGCAGTGAGCTTTTTACATTCCTTGTCAAGCTCTTCTCCACTGCTGAAGGTACTGGATGAAGCTGGTACAGGACTGCACTTACCCAGCAAAATACAGGCTGCACAGCTTCAGACCTCTGCCCCAAACTGGGTCTCCTCCTCTGTAACGGAGACCCAGACACATCATTCTAATGGTTTCAACCATTCTTGAAGAATGAGCTCAGAACTGCAGAGCTGCCTTCCATTGTCCAGATTTCAACGGCTAGAAATACCACAGAAGCACAGGAAAGGCTGAATCCAACCCAGGACATCTCCACCCGGCCAGCTCCCCCGCAGCGTGACTCCACGTGGAAGCCAAGTGACCCAAACAGCTTTCCAACCTCTGCTCCCTGCTAAAACTGGGTCTTACAAGCACGGTGACAAAGCACGACAGGATGAACTTGACTCTTCATGCCCCCTTGTGCCAACAGCCTCTACTCACACACACAGCGGCACCGCCACATCAGCACAACCAGGGAGCAGAGCTGAGAGTTTGTGATGCAAAAGCATCGCAGGTTTATCTGATCCTGCCTGCTTCAAGGTGCAATCCGACCCCGAAGGGGTAGAGATTAAAGCAATTAAACTTTCTGTTGACGTTTTAAAGCTCTTCTGCAATAGATTTTAATAAAAGAAGGTATTCTCGGGATGAATAGGGAATAAAAAAGAAAACGTTTTGCTGCTGTGCCACAGCATTACATTTTTCCCCTCCAAACTGCATTGGCATGAATAGGGAATAAAAAAGAAAACGTTTTGCTGCTGTGCCACAGCATTACATTTTTCCCCTCCAAAAAAGCTGCTGCATTGGCCGGGAATCGAACCCGGGCCTCCCGCGTGGCAGGCGAGAATTCTACCACTGAACCACCAATGCTGCCCTACGTGCTGCCTGCACGCCCTGCCTGCCTGCTCCTGCCGGTCCCGGCAGGCTGCCCCATGCAGCTCCCTGCCTCCTCGTCTTCGACCCGGCTGCTGCTGTACAAGAAAACCCTTCAGCCCTTTAATTCTCGCCTTCTTGCTCCCTTCTCACGGCAGGATTTTCCAAAAGCCGCTTGCTGACGCGTTGCAGAAGAGCACTGGGCTGAACATGCAGCCCCAGAAGAATAAAACGGATTAGCCCACGTGATTTAAATGTTACACCTATTGCACACGCCTGGACAACAAAGATGCGACAGAAGTAGCGTCTAATCATCCCAGGACAACAGCATCAAAGGGATGCTGGAAGGCTAAAGCCGCTGCTGTTTTCAGGCATCAGTCCTCCAGGACCCTCTCCATTTAGTTTCTTCTCACTTGAACACTCTTCCAGGCCTCCCATCACACTTGCAACCTTTCGCCTTTTCTGTTCTGGAAATTTTAGGACTGGGACAATACCCGCATGATGGTCCCAAGAGCACCGTGAATTTGGAAAGGACCCAAAATTCTTCTCCTTTCTGTTCTCTACCCTTCCCCAACACAGACAACCTCCACGCGCGTGCTGATGCTCTCCAGGACTAACACAGCTCTCTCAGCTCTCCTTTGGGCGACGGTAGCTCCTCCCAAACCAACCACTGCAGGACAGGTGGGCTATTCTCTTCCCATGTTATGCAGCAGACACTAAATGTTTAACTATAAATGATCTTTTTCAGGTCAACTTAATGATGAAGTTGAAGTGAAGCGCGGTGAGGGGATGGGGATGCTCACCAGGGAACGCAGCACTGCTTGGGCTCCAGGCGGGATCAGTGACCCTGCTACGCAGACAGCACCAAATGTGTCTGTCTCAGCAGAGGATCATCTGTGAAACAGGACTCCAAGGCTCAAAGAAAGCACAGAGGTCCCACGTGCCCTGAGCTGCCCCAGGACACCAAACCAACTCAAGAACTTCTCTTGAGGACCTTCCCTTGACCTTCCTCACACCTCTAACGGCTCAGACCAATGGGGACTCACCACTAGATGCTGTCTCTGGCTTGGAGACGGACTCCTCCGAGGTGGGCTCTGCCGGTAGGGTCATTGACTGCTTGGCCTCATCCATTTCATCATCCTCTGGGATGACCAGCTTCATCAGGCTCTGGTTGCACACGTTTGCCACCTCCTTGATGTCTGAGCGGAGGCAGTGTAAGGAACATGCAGTCCCACACGCGGCTAGGTGCCACATCTGGCCAGCCACGGAGAAGCCACCGCAACCCCACCTGGGCTGCCCCAGCCCAGCTACTGCAACCCCCCTCACATCCAAAGGACCAGTGCGGGTTTTAGGACTTGGTGGGAGGACTTCTGGCCTTCTCCAGCCGTGCAGCTGGCCCTGCGCCCCAGGGGCAGGAAACAGGCGCTTCCCTGTGGGTTGCTGTAGCAGAAATGGGAGCAGCTCGGAGTTACAAGGATACTCTTCTTGCGATCATCGTAGGAGAGACACGGCAGGACAGCGGTCAGGATCCCTGAGGAGTAAGGCAGCATCACCCGGCCAGCCAGCTGGATGAACTCCCTCATCCAGCACATGGCCGTCAGCTGGATCAGGTCATCTGGAAGACACGGGACAAGCAAAGGTGAGGGAAAGGACAGCACTGGCAGCTGAGCAAACTCCACAGGCCAAGAGCCACCTGCAAGCAGAGAGCTGCCTCTGCTCCATCCAGAGTCGCTAGTCCAGAGAGACCCTAGTCTGGGACAGTTTAGTCCCAGAGGAGATAGACAAGAGCTGAATCTGCAGTGAGGTTGAGATTCAACACAATCATTAGGTTTTGGAGTTAACCCAGTTCAATCCATAATCCAGGTTTCCTCATTTCTAAGTATTCTGTCAAGCTTCCCAATGCATAAGGATCTTTCCTCTGCCACACCTGTAGCAGCTGTGTGTCTGGGTCAAGCATCACTCCTAGAGCTGGGGTTTTCTTAACCTCCCCAAGTTCTGAAAAAGGGAGCACTGCTGGGGCAGTCAGCTGATGCAGGGCCAGATTTTAGGCTTAAACGGTGTAAATTCATTGCGCATCAGTTGAATCAAGAGCAAGCCGTCTCGGTCTATTTCTAGTTCTCTATCTCACAAGAAACCCACTCCCATTCAGCAACGTTTAAAAAGAGTGGTTTAAGCTGGATGAGCACGGCTCAGGGACAAGACCCTTCTTGGGAAACCCACCCAACTGCAGCTGTAACGCTCCGCCGCTGCCTACACGGCAGACCCGCAGGAGCTACAGTGCAGCACTAACACGAAGCGCCAGGCACATCGTGTTTAACTGTCCTGCCGATGCGCCTAGTGCCATCAGAGGTTAAAACAAGCCCCTAAGGAGATTCTTCTAGATGTGCTGGATATCCACAGGTGCCCTCCGCAGCCAGGTATTTTACTTTCAGGCATCTCCGCTTCAACAGGTTGCCAGACCTGTATTTGAGGCTGGGGGATCAGCAGTACAAGAGCAGTAGTGTCAACCGTGGGACGGCTTCCTGTCGTCCCCCCCCCCCTTTCAGCAGGGTTTGCACGCACGATGGCAAAGAAAGTGCAAGTGGGCAAGCTGGTGAACAGCCCACTGGAAAATTCCTGGCCTGAACCTATGGCCGGCACCACAGACCCGGAGGTGGATGCTACGGCTCGGTCCTGCACTCACCCGCCGCCTGGCAGTGGATCACCAGGATATTGGCCATTTCTGCAAACTTGACGCTGGAGGGGTTCTTCTTGATCTCCTTGAGGAACTCCCCGAGAGCCACCTCACACCTGCAGAGAGGCAGAGCAGCTGGTTAGCACTCAGTCGCCTTGGACAGAGAAGTTACGGAGACCAGCCTCCTACATGCATGCACAGAAAGGACGCCGGTGGCACGGCATGCGTGCCTCCCCACAGGGGCAGGGCCAGGAAGGACGAGGCTGGCAAACTTGTCCTGCTCCAAGGCAGAGATTGCACACAGCTGCGAGGATGGAGGTGGGTAAAAAACTGGCTGGACGGCCGGGCCCAGAGAGTTGTGGTGAATGGAGTTACATCCAGTTGGCGGCCGGTCACGAGCGGTGTTCCCCAGGGCTCAGTTTTGGGGCCGGTCTTGTTCAATATCTTTATC